TATTTGGCCAAGATATGACTAAAAAACAGAATCCCAGTGATTTAACAAAAAATAAATAAATGAATAAATACAGAGAAAATCACCTTTAAAGTCTCCAAATTAGGTTATTAGCAATGTTTATTACTAACCAAATATACAATTTTTATATATTTATCGAAGAACATTTACACAATGTCTTTGAGCTGCAACAACATTGCTGCGTCCTCGGTCGTATATCCGTCCTAAATAATATAGAATTGGAAATGTAGTATGTTGAAAAGAGTATGCCAAAGTTTCCCGGAGGGTTTACTATTTCCGGTGAAAATTTTAAGTGTAGAACTGTCCGTACTCTAACCGCTGATATTTCCAACAGTACATTGCGTGTTGGATGTGAATTCGATAAGAACGACAAACACAGTTAAAAGGGAAATTAAACAACAAACATGATGGACGCGCGAGACCAACCGTTAAGTACGGAGGCTTCAGTAAAGATGTTTGTATGACTGTTAATTAATATCTATAGCTCACTGGAAAATATATAAATCGAGTTGTCTGTGTTATACTTCATCTGCAACAACAATACTGAACTTGTATAAAGATGTGTTTGCATAATTGTCCAAAGACCTGAGGAGATTTCTCTGCGTGAAAGACTCGTGAATGGCTGATTATCCTGCTGCTGCTTCTCCAATAAGGTAAGAAATTAAATATGACAGAAATTTGGTGTGTGGATGATTGACAGGGCTCATAACCAAGCAACATAACAATCTGTCTTTTGGTACACACTCAAAAGAATATATTTTCCTTTACAAAAAAAGTACAAATTTTTAGGTCGTAGTATAAGTATGCGAATTGGGATATAGCATATTATTTTGACTTTTACAATGGCGGTTCATTCCCATGTGGAGTCCCCTGATGAATCAGCCACTAAGCAAAATAAATGAATAAATGCCTTATACAATCTATTTTCTGGCTATTCCCACAAATATATCCATGCCACATAAGACAAGGTTTTGTGCTCCAGGGTCACACATTGTATGCTTAAGTATTTGGTTTTGCAATACAAGAGAACAAATGGAAAAATATTTTGCAGATGCCCATAAAAGGTTGTGGTGAAGCTAGGACTTTATTTACGGGAAAAAAAATGCCATATTGGTTAATGCTGCATGACCACGAGACCTTAACTTTCTACAATGAGTTATTCAATTGTTCTGGATTTGGGTGTGCTCTCTGCATCTGTTAGCCTGGCATCTCATGTTATTACAGCTGCAAGAGCTTTTAACAGTATGCAAAGTATTTGTCTGTACAACCAAGCAAGCGTTGCAATGACTCATTTATTTACACGTCACATAACTCCATTACATAAATAATATAGGCTAAAACATCAGAGCTATGCTTAAACATCCTCCATGGTTATTTGGAGAGAGCCAGACAGAGAGAGATTTAGAATTCAGCAGGATGTTTTCACGGGATTTTGAAATTGATCCCTTGGGGTTTTGATGGCTGAGTGTCCATAATGCCAAGCCCCGTTGCATAATTCAAATGTTCCTACTTCATAATCCCCAAACGCCTTTTACACTGTCAGCTAAAAATAGACCAAACAAACAGAGGGTGACATTCAATATTGACCTGCTTCCATAAGCGATGCGCTGCCAACCGGAGCTTTTAGGCCTGGTTTCCCTGTGGCACAGTATCGTCATATACACTCCGTGCTCTAAAGCTGCTCGAACTGAAGATGAACTGAATGTGTCGAGCAGCTGTTTAGATGGGAACACAAGACGATGGTGCTCCTGCCAGGGCAGCAGATGGATCAGGCTGAGTGATATAATACTGACAAATTTAGACACATTATGAGAAACCAAATGGCACTCGTATGGGTAAAACAAAAAGTCTCTTAGAGATGGATTGCTCAGTCTAAAACAGCTGTGAAAGTAACTTACAATAACAATGTTGTGATTTTTATGTCTTTTTTTTGGTCAAATCCAGACCTGTCGATGGATTTAAAGCAGATCTGAGCTGATGGCTATCGGAGTGTCTATTATGGGAGATCGAAAGAGGGCAGAAATTCACAGAAATCTGCTGTTTATAAGGTCAGACTGTTGATATGGTTTTAATGGAGATGAATAATATTCATCAGGCAAGATTTGGTGATGGCGTATCTGGCTGTGCTGATGCATAGTGTGCTGAGGCACACTATTTAAGATTTTTACATTGATACAGCCAAAATCCACTATAACAGTGTTATATATTTTGTTGACTTATGAGTATGCATTATCCCAACTGTTTTAAAGAATGTTTAAATAGAGAAATCATCAATTTTAGCTAATGACATGGACCTTGTCCTGTGTGGTCATGCTAATGACATCACACACCCTTGATTCGAGGTTTAGTTTTAGAGAAAACAGGGAAACACCAAAGATGCGTTAATATGTCATGTGTTTTGTTAGACTGCACAGAGCCGCATTATAACAGAATCTTAAAATGCTTTTAGCATGATAAAACAGCATTTCTTCTTTTGCATGTATCATGATCAGAAGAACTGTTAGCGGTGGATTGTGGCATAATAAAAGCTCTGCTGCTTTAGTGCCACGTCACACTCAATTCTCATCAGCAATTGCTTCAGCGCTCTCGTTTGGCTTCCCTGGCTTTCTCTTTCTGGCCTTACTCTGCTTCATACTATCATGATAATAAGTTTTGAATACTTTAGCTCATCTATTAAAATGATTTCTGCAGGGTGTAATAAGATGTAATTAGGATAACAACTTCTATGATTATACACTCAGTCACAGTGTCATCACAATTCATTGTTTGTCAGAATTCAAAAACTTTTGTGGTAAATAGTCTCCTTTAAACTGGAAACTCGGCTTTTGCTCTGTGCCTTTAAACACAATAGAAATGCAAGAGCAAGTTTTTAGTTCTTGAGCACGGGCTATATCTGTCTTAGCTTTTCCTGGCTCTTTCCACACTCTACAAATCTTATTCTTTGCAAGTAGTTTGCTTTCTTATCTAGTTAAAAAGACCTTGAAACAATATGCATTTTGAAAGCAAAACAATACATTTACACCTGTAACCTCACTACTTTTTAGAGCAACCGACTCCCATACAAAGAATCGCCGGTTTGATCCCAGCTCAGATTGGGTTGGGTGCAGTAGGGCTGATGGGTTACACGTGGGGGCTTGTTTGGAATGGGAGTGAGGCAAGGCTATTCAATTAGTTTGTCATGGGGGCCGGTTCATAAAAAGCATCCCAAACGAAAAGTCAGAGAGATATGGTTTGCTATAAGTGATGACACAACTGCATATAAGTATATATAACTGCATATAACTGTATTTTTCCTTAAGACACCCACAGTGGTTTTTCTACATTAAAATGTCAATATATTGTATTTGAAACTAAATAATGTCAGTGCATTGTGCAATAGACTTTTTATTTTTTTACAAACATTCAAATGTTGTATTTCAGAGCACAACAAAAGCAGTGCATTGCTGAAGTAGGCTTCTACATTCAGACACATTCACATGTTATATTTTGAACTGCATAACAATTATAGATGCAACAATTTTAGATTTTGGTTGCACGATTATATAGTCTGAAGAATATTCATGGTTTCACGGTTATCAAGTTTAATGTAAATGTAAGCTTTATATTAGGTAATTAGCTGGAATGTGTGGGCAAACCTTACTCCTGTTTTGAGAAACCTACTCCCTATCAAAGAATCACTATTTTGATCACAGCTCAAATCGGGTAGGGTACAGTAGGAGCGGTGGGTTACATGTGGGTGCTCGTCCGGGATAGGAGTGAGGTTTTGGGGGAGGGGGGTGTAACGGAGGCCAGCTAGCGAAGTGCTTTGCAGGTAAACCTCACCCCTCTGCCCTTAAAAGGGTGCACTAACTACAGACATTAGAGGCCATAGTCTTTAGCCTCCTTGTTAGAGCAAACAACTCCCATGCAAAGAATCGCCAGTTCGATCCCAGCTCAGACTGGGTTGGGTGCAGTAGGAATGGTGAGTTACATTAGATTATTTAAAAAAAAAAGTATAAGTATTTTGTCTTGCTTCACTGGCAGATTTTTTTCACTTAATATATAATATAATGAAATATAAAAAAAATTGCCAGTTTTGTACTTATTATTCTAATTATTTTTGACATAAAAGAAAATTCTATAATTTTGACCCATACAACGCACTTTTGGCTATATTGTCAAAAATAAAGCATTGCATTTTAAACTAATTTTTTGGTACAGGGTCGCATCATGTTCATGTTTTCTCTGTTACTTACAGTAAGTGGATAATACCATGATGGTGGTTCCATGAGATAATATCTGATCATAACATTACCACAGTGTTCGATGTCTTACAGCTTACCTAACTCCAGAGTTGCGTAACATTATGGAAGAACTGTCTGTCATCATCTGTAATTTGATACTTGATGCTATAAAAAACTCTATAGAAAATTCATAGTAGGTTGTTAATTGGACACTGGAGATACCCCAAACCAGGAAAGGCAATGAAAAGGTCATGTGATGTTGCTTAGTAATGTGCTTATTCACTCTGTTGAGCTGTTCCCATGAGATCCTGGGCACTCACAAGCCCACTGTATGTAAGTGTGTGTGGTCCATACCAAACATAGCCCCCCGTCTGCACTGTCAAACACCCACATAAACAGAAGCATCTACACAGCAGCTTTAATCAAAACACATTACAGCTCCACCAGGACTGGCTACAGTAACCGCTCATCAGGGCACAGTGGGAGATGCGCACACACATACACATGCCTGAAGGTCAGTTGAAGAAGAGCGCATTGATTAGGAGCAGGATGGGGGACGTACAATAATCACCTGCACTGCAGCGAAGAGGACAATTTAAAACAATGGCTAACCAAGATTACAAGAGTTGGTAGCATGCTACGTGATGAATGCAAGGCTGAACTGCATAGTTGAGATGGGGATAAGATCTTTTTATGTCAGTGCATGATGGACCAGGTGCTACTGGTTTTGAATGAGAACTCTAGTGAATTGCGACTGACCTGGGCCAAGCTTGGCAACTGCATACAGCAGGTCGTAGTTAATAACCGGTGTGGCCTCATCAATCTGTTGCCAACCGACTGGAGGTGAGCCAGGGGGAGAGATGAGGAACTGTTTGGAAGGCTGTGGAGGAGCCAGGTGCAAATTGTCTCCTTCAGATACTGGGTTCTGCACCTGAAAGCCAGAGAGTGTGTTGTTAATAGTTAATCAGAAGAAAGAATTGGTTATTAGCAAATACATGCTACTTTTTGGAAATGATGAATTACCTATTTATCATTCTCATTACCATTTATCACTACAAAAAATCAGATTTGACTTTAAAGGTCCTGTGAAGTGCATTGAAATATGCATTTTTATTTGATGTTTAACGTAATCTCAACCGAAACATGAAGAGAGGGTGGACATAATGTAGATTGCATTATACTGGAATTCGGTACCAATCAAAACTGAAATTTAAAAACAAGTAAATTTCCCGCAAACATTTGAGCTTTGTGGAGAACCTTCTAAAACGGCGCTGATTTGCCATTGGGTTCACATGCTCAACAGAAATGGCTGTGATTGGCCGTGACGGTCATCAGGTCACAAACTCACCGCTGTTTACTGAGTGTAACCACAGATGCAGGGATACTGGAAGCGTTTTAAAACCGTGATTCATCAGTGGATCACTCGTATGTCAGCTTATAGACAAACCAACTGATCTGCGTAACGTTGAAACACTCCAGTGTCCCTGTATCTGTGGTTACACTCCGTAAACAGCAGTGAGTTTGGTAAACAGATGACCTTCATGATGAAATGCAAATGAGAAGCCTCTACTAGGGGGAGGGGCATGTCAGACACTAGAGAGGATTTGATTGGTTATGATTTGATGAGCAACTGAAGTATGAAGTGACCTGAATAAATCTGTTGATCTATTTTGGCAGATATGGCAAACTACTAGCTTTACATGTTCATATCAGTTTTGTGTCTTATAAATGGAAATTTTGTCATTGTTTTGGAGCACACTAGCTTAAATATATATTATATTATGTATTAAAACTAACATTATTTAAGTATGATCTTTTTTTTCTTTTACTTTGAACAGTGATAGAGCTTTACTTCTGGGATTTCTGCTTAGCAGCAAATAAAACAAATCCTTCTTTATACCCAAATCCAAAAAGCTGCTTATAAAAAAATAAATGTAATATTGTAGTAGTTAAACAATTTAAAAAAAGAAAAACATTGTTTTTATATGGAACTCAATTTCAATCAATTTTTAAGTTTTTTTTTTTTTTTCAGAAAGATGAGTGTCCCCCTTTTCTTCAGACAGCACAGATCTACTTGATTTGACTGTCACCTGCCATTTCAGTGGATCTGAAAGCAGGAATTATCTGACTGAAATGGGCTGATGAAGGAATAATCTAACGGGGCTCTATTACATTTAACATTTTCTTAAACCTGAATTTTTCATATCCACAGCTATTAATGTACTGAGCGCCTCTGTGATTTGTTTTGCCCTGTTCTAATCTGTAGGAATGCTGCGGGGATAGTTGCATGTAGTGTGCGTGTTTCCAGTTTTCGTCTAATTCCAGTTAGTGTAAATGAGTTGACATGTTCAAACATTACCTCTATAATAGCTTACTGTCATAGCAGATTTGACATATCATTGTTTTTTAATCTACCAATCTCTTGCCATCACCCTCATAACTCATCTCCCTCATAACAGGGAAACCAAAGTGCTTACAAGCGGCAGACCGGTTGTTGGTTATAGGAGGATTACATAAACGTTACTAGCCATTTTGCAATGAGCTAATGCAGCGTGTGCCTGACTGGAGTAGTGTTTGGAGGTGGGCAGGGAAGTCAGAACATTGCCTGTCACATCATTTTGGATGCCTTGTTGAGCGTTGTTGCACTGAAAACATTATATTTAGTACACTTTCTTTTTTATCTTTTTAGATGGTAGTCTGAATTGTTCGGTTTGTATTGTGTACGGAACCGAAAATCTCGTACCAAACAGTTCAATATGAATATGCGTATCGTTACACCCTTAATAAGGGTGTTAAAATGGTAATATGTTAAAAACTAACAATATTGATACTGACATCTAAAAAAAAAACAACATTATTTTAATATCATGGGAACTTTAAAGCAAGCAGTGGTTTGACTTTATTTACTTTTTATTTATTTACATTATTACATTATTTTATTTATTTTTTATTTACTTTGTTTAAATTTATTTACGGTGGTTTGACTGATTTGTCTTTATACTTGTGATTACAATGTAAAAGTGTACTAACTTTGAACAGTTTTATAGCATTTAAATGATACTTTTAAGCATTACACTTTAATATATTTTTGAAGTAGTACACTATTTCTACACACTAATATCAATTTAAATATATATTTTTAAAGTTCAATTTAATTTATACTTGCAATAACTATTTAAACAAACAATTTTTTAAATACACTTAGATTATATTACTACATTATACATTTGCTGTATAAGATATTTTTCAAGTAGTACACTTTATTGCTACATACAAAAAAATCTATATAAATATCAGTGGTATTTACTATACTTTCACATTTTCACACAAATTTTTAGTTTACTCAAGTACACTTTTTTTCACATGGGAAAGCTTACAGGTAAAACTGCTATAGTACTACCCATCCAGCAATAGTAACAGGAAGCACATAATATCAGCATTTTGATTGGTCAGATCACCTGTCAATCAAACCCCTGGCAAAGGCTCTCTTGATAATATTTGATCTATATGTCTACTGTATCTAGTTTTAAGATTTTTTTTTTAATCACTTCTTTTTATTTACATTTGATAATGTATTCGGGTGGCACGGTGGATCAGTGGTAATCACTGTAACCTCACAGTAAGAAGGTCACTGGTTCAAGTCCGGGCTGGGCCAGTTGGCGTTTCTGTGTGAAGTTTGCATGTTTTCCCCATGTACATGTGTGTATTCATGATCTCGTTTTCTGAACTGAAACTTGATTCATATTCACAGGCTGAATTGGAATCTTCGCAACAGTACTCTTATTTAACCCGTCCTTTGTTTGAACCCCTCCTTTATTTTACAACAGTTATGTCAGCTCGATGTGCTCTTTTTGAGCAGCTAATACCAAATATCAGAGTGCATCTTTTTCATAGCTGTCTGCTCCTGCCAGTGGATTCTGTTCTACTGGTGTTGTGTAATCCTAAACATGAAGTCATTTCCTGCTCACTGAAGGGTTACAGACCCCTGGCATGAATTATGAAAGGATTACGATGAACGTGACGTATGGTCAATGTGACCATGTGCTATTTAAAGATCAACACTGCCTGATGTCTCCTTGTATGATCTATCGTTTTGTCTATGGGGTATCTATCTATCTATCTATCTATCTATCTATCTATCTATCTATCTATCTATCTATCTATCTATCTATCTATCTATCTATCTATCTATCTATCTATCTATCTATCTATCTATCTATCTATCTATCTATCTATCTATCTATCTGTCTATCTGTCTGTCTGTCTGTCGTTTTAGCCATCCATAATCAAACATCCATCAATTTTAATGAAATATCTATCCATCCATCCGAACCAAACATCCATCCATCCATATCAAACATCATAATCAAACACCCATTCATCCCAATCAAACATCCATCCATCAATCCTAATCAAACTTGCATCCATTTTAATCAAACATCCATCCATCCTAATTTAACTTACATCCATCCCAATTAAAAATACATCCATCTCTCCTAATCCAACAAAAATGTATCCATCCATCCTAATCAAAGATACATCTGTCCTAATAAACATCCATCCATTCTAATTCAACATCCATCCATCCTAATTAAACATACATCCATCCCAATCAAAGATCCATCCATCTTTCCTAATCCAACAAAAATGTATCCATCCATCCTAATCAAAGATACATATGTCCTAATCAAATATCCATCCTAATTCAACATCCGTCCATCCATCCATCCAATTATCCATCCATTCACGCATCCTAATCAAACATAATTCATGCTAATCAAACATGAATCTATTCATTTTAATCAGACATCCATTCATCCAAATCAAACATCCATCCTAATCAAACATTTATCCATCCATTCATCCATCCTTATTAAACATCCATCCATCCTAATGCTGCATCTATCCATTCTAATCCAACATACATTCATCCATCCATCCTAATCAAAGATACATCTGTCCTAATCCAACATCCATCTTAATCAAACATACATACATTTTAATCATCCATCCTAATTCAACATACATACATCCTAATCAAACATACATTCGTCCATCCTAATTAAACATCCATCCATGCTAATGAAACATCCATTCATCAAATGTTCATCAATCATCCATCATTCTAACCAATCATCCATCCTTCCCAAACATCCATCCTAAACAAACATCCATCCATCCATCTTAACCAAATATACATACAACTTAATCATCCATCCATCCTAATAAAACATCTATCCTCAGCAAACGTCCATCCATCTATTCCAATCAAACATCCATCCATCCATACATCCATCAATCCTAATTAAACATCCATCCGTCCGTCTCTTTTTACATGCAAAGTGTCTACACAATATATTTGTTTGTGTGTGCGTGTGTGTTTGTGTGTGTGTGTCTATGATTCAAATCAATTAAAAACAAGTTCAACCCATAAATGAATGGAAACAAAGTATCTAGATCTCTTGAATCAAAATGCAAAAATGAACAGAAAATGAATGAATTATAAGATCCTGAATAATTAAATTACACAACCAATAAAATGAGCATAGCTACACTGAAGTAACATAAAACCCCTAACGCAGACCAAAAATATTTAAGTATCTTAATTTAATGCCATTTAAGATGTTTTATGGGCCCACAGCCAATCTGTATCTATAACTCAATACATGTAAAATCTTTTGGCATTGTATGGCAAGTTTGCTTTATTTTCTTCAACTCCTCTTAGATTTCTTCTGATGCCTCTAGTTCTCACCTGGGCAAAGTAAAGTTTGAGTTTCTTCCCTCTGAAAGGCGTCTCGTGCAGCTCTATTCTTGCGCTGGCTGCTGCTTTAGGGTTACTGAAATTGATTCGTACACGTCTGAAGCTCTTAAACTGCTGGAACGTCACACCCTCATCGTACGCGAGGAAGAGCGCTTCAAACATTTCCTGAAAGACAAAAAAATAAGCAAGCCTAATTAACAAGGGATGGATATTTCAGTCCACTGGCAAATGTCAAAGCATGAATAATTCATAGGTCTTTACAGAAGACAAAGAAAGTCGAGCAGGAATGCTTTTTTTTTTACTGTGCCAGAAACAAGCAAGACTTGTTCCACCAATATCAATCTTATTAAAGCCATGAGAGAACAATTGTGATTAATGTCTACACCTCTCCGACAGGATGAACATCATTGTGTTCTTTACAAAAGCGAGCAGGCTTTGGACTAGGAAGACCTCACAAAACATTTAGCTCAGCTCAGCCAAAACTGCACTCTGTTGGAGAGACAGATTGGCTGAATCTGTTATGACACTTTTATATTCATTTCCTATGCACAAGAGGAACTGATGAAAGCAATTCTGTCTGCAGCTTGGCTCTCAGTTCAAGATTCAGTCTTTCTGAGCTTGAGTAAGCATGAGTGTATGCTTAGCCTGTTTTAATGTGAGGATTATTAATGTTATTAACCTAAACAAAGGTTATTTTATTAAATGAAGACTAAAACTATTGAAATTTTTTTTATAAATTAACAACAGATGTTGAAAAATGAATGTTTTTGTTGTTTGAACTAATTATTTAAAATGAGCTGAATTAGCAAAGTTTTTTGGGGACAACTTGATATATTAACTTTAACTTTTTATATTAAATCCACTTAATAATTGGCAAAATCACTCATTCTGGGGTGGAAAATCGGACATGACCCTTTAGATCAGAGATGCCCGCAGGCCAAAGTTGGCCCATGCTAACATTTGATTTGGCCCACCATCCTATTTGAGAAGAGGAGAATGATGGGGAGGTGGTTGGGGCAAAATTCTTTAACGGAGATCATCATTTCGAATTTAATGTAAATTTGTTTTGTAAAATAAGTTGTTTTGCACAAGACATCAGCAAAGGCAAATGCAGGTGCAGCTTAGTGTAGTTTGCATTGAATTCCATTGTGTTATTAATAGGATTGCTTGTTTTTATTGCAATAAGTTCATCATAAAAAATTCTAAATATACTGCATTAGTTAATATAATTTAAAGCAATGCTTTGTAGCTATTTTTAAATACTAGGAAATTAATTAGAAAATTACTCATGGAAACTTTAATGTAATACAGTTTGGTATTTTTACCTTCTGCCCACAGCCCTCATCTGCTGCGTAAAAACGTGCTGGATAAGTTGGCGGTTAATTCTGCTGTGGCGACCCCAGATTAATAAAGGGACTAAGCCGACTAGAAAATGAATGAATGAATGAATGAATGAATGAATGAATGAATGAATGAAATTGTAAGGGTTTTGAATTTGTAATGGTTTTGGATTCAGTGTTTGTCCAAACCATTATTTTATTTTTATTATTAAAAAATGTGCAGTGCACAAGGGTTAATGTCTAGACTAGATATGTTAATCTACAATTATGAAAACAGAAACTAAATATATCAATTATATAGAAATGTTTTTACAAAATAAAAACTGAACTGAAACAAAACCAAAATGAAACTAAAACTAAACTTAAATCTACAGCCAGTGGTGTAAAGTGACTAATTACAAATACTTTAATTACTGTAATTAAATAGTTTTTCTCAGGAATTGTAATTTACAAAGTCATTTTAAAAATGTGCACTTTTACTTTCCCTTGAGTACATTTTCAGTGCTGTGTCGGTACTTTTACTCCACTACTTTTCTTCAACCTGCACTCACTTCTTTATTATTTCTTGTCTATGGGGATTCAAAAATTCAGTCCTGTGATTTTAGTCCAATCAAATCAAACTAGAAGGTAAATCGCATCATTATGAACTACCTCAAGACACTGACACCTGTTGTTTAAAACACGGGCAAACTGTTTAAAAGCATTTAAAGTGTCCAAGAAGATGTCCAAAATCTTTACACGCATTGACCCAGAAACTGTTTAGATGCATGTCACTGATGAGAAGATGACGGATGTTTACTGTATGATGACAGAAATGGCCTTAAACACTGGCACAACTGGTCAACATGACGTCAGATTGACGTTGTACCCTAACGTCATGGGGATGTTGCATTTTGTTTGGAAATGAAAATCAGGTTGATGTCAGAACTCAACGTCAGGCCGATAAACTCAGCATTGAATTCCACTGTGTTATAAATGTGATTGTTTTTATTGCACATAAGTTATCATTTAAAAAGTTACACTGCATTAGTTAATGCAATTTGAAGTAATGTTCTCTATTTATTTTAAAATATAAGGAAAATTTGGAGAAATTACCCAAGGCAACTTTAATGTAATGTAGTTTGGTATATTTACCTTCGACCATAAGCTCTCAATGATATTTGGTTATTGGCCCTTCATACAAAAAAGTTTTGGCACCCCTAGTCTTAGGTATTCATGTAACATATTGTGAAAAAATGTCCACATAAAGTTTATTAATAGGATTAAGAATCTTAAACCAGCATGCTTACAATTTTTATAATTATATGCTGGCTGCATACTCTTAGATATTACCTCTCAATTAATCTTTATTCATTTTCATTATTTTATTAGTTCGTTATCATTGTCTGTGAAATCTCAGATGTTAAATGTGGAATTTCAATTACAGTTTTAAAGCAGTCTTGTCATAATGAATAACTGAACTTAAATAGAAATGATTTAATAAAAGCTTTATAAAGTAAAAGCACATCATTATGCTATTCTCTTTTAGAGTAGTATCTAACAGGATCGCTGGAATAGAAACACCTTAGACTGATTAGTATTTTCCAAAAACAAAAAGGTCATCAAATGTGCACATTCCTGATTTGATTGTGAGGTATTTAATTGCATTATTTCCAGAGACCTGTTAAAATGGCTAAATTCTCAGTGTTGAGTTTGCTTTCCTTTTTAAGGCATCGCACATAAGCACTTAGAAGCAGGGCCAATGTGTACACCAAAAATAGGTGTTCAACATGAAACCCTCAAATATGCCCTTAAATTTGAGCCAACCGCTGGTGAAACACTTCAACGTGATGACAAACCATAATCTAAAATGTGAAATTCTTATACCTTAAACGGTAAGGTAGATCTTAAACATTAGGTGAGATGCAAGAGACCAGAATTAATTTTGAGTGTAGACAATGACATATTCCTTCTCATATAAACTATGAATGGAGTTTTGTAGGTTGTAGAAGTTAATGTTGATGACCAGAATGTTTCTGATTTGATCTTTATATTGTGTACTTCTTAAAGGGTATGTTCATTATTGTGGTGCATTCCCTTTGCCCTTCTGGTCCATACTAAAAAGAAAACCACTCAGACATACTAACAATAATGATTGTACAGCTTCTAGTCCTTTTAAGGGTAGCATCTTGTGACATCACATCCTGTTTTTGGCTTGTTTTATTCTGTTTGCTCTGTGTTGTGTTGAAAATGTACCAGAGTTTGGATGGCAATGATCGCTTCTACTTAAATGTGCTCAAATAATAAGAGAGCAATCACACTTTAATCAAACTAAACCGGCCAAGTTTGAAAACACCCTGAGTCATGATTCTCAAACAACATATTGAATCATAAGAACAGTCAAAACCAGCTTCAAAATCCAATACTTTTTCACGCAGCCTATTAAACATTTGTATTTTAACTCTTTCCCTGCCATTGACTTGATGTCTAGCATATGTCCAAAGTAAGTTATGGGACTTCTGGGTGTCCCAGATATGACAAGCAAAGAAAATGAGTGAAAGCAGATCTTCTTTATTTTTTTATTATTATTATTTTTAACATGTTCTTTATCAGGGCTCACCACTGCAAAATGATCTGTTCGCATTGATGTAAATGAAGCTATATTTATATACAGTCAAGTCCAAAAATATTAATTCCCCTGGCTAGTTCTGACTTAAAATTACTAAAAGAAATATGTATGTATGTGTGTGTGTATCTATGTATTCAGTTGAAATCAGAATTCTAAAACCCCTTTGATGTGTGTGTGTGTGTGTGTGTGTGTGTGTGTATATATAATATATATATATATATATATATATATATATATATACACACACACACACACATACATACATTTTTCCCCCCAAATTATGTTTACAGAGCAAAGAAATTTTCACAGTATGTCTGTTAATATTATTTCTTCTGGAAAAAATGTGTTTTATTTTGGCTAGATTAAAAGCTAGACTAAACCTTTTTTAACTGTTTAAAAAACATTTTAAGGTCAAAATGATTAGCCCCCCTTTTTTATTGTTTACAGAACAAACCATCATTGTACAATAACTTGCCTAATTACCCTAACCTGCCTAGTTAACCCAATTAACCTAGTTAAGCCTTTAAATGTCACTTTAAGCTGTATAGAAGTGTCTTGATAAATATTTAGTAAAATATTATTCACTGTCATCATGGCAAAGATAAAATAAATCAGATATTAGAAAAATGTTTTAAAATGTGTAGAATTTTTTTTCTCTCCATTAAGCAGAAATTGGGGCAAAAAATAAACGGGGGCTAATAGTGCTGACTAATATATTTGACTATGTATGCATGCATTGCTTGAAAATGCAGCACTTTGAAAAACTTCTCTGATTTATAGAAAATGTTTGAATGGAAAATATTTGGTTAAACCTATCTGCATTGAAATGATGATAAAATTTGTATACCTGAAGGTAGAATAAAATGCTTTTGCATTTAAAAGCAGTGATTCTGTCCTTAATTTTGATATATAATATGGTCAAATTTTCACAGCAGAACTTATTCAGAGTGCTGCTAATGTCTTTCAACATAAAAAAAAAAAATGCAATATAAGAATGAGTTAGGCCCAATCCATATTCTACTCCTATCTAGCCCTTGTAACAGGGATTTTCCAGAACCACACTCGAAACCAAGGTGTACAAAAATTTCCCAGAAAACACCAGCTTCAACGGCAACATGGCTGCATACATAAGTCAGGAGATGCACAAATTAGTATTTTTTTATGGCAGTATTATGAATTTTTACAACAAACAAGCAAATTTTAATACACTTAGGGAC